GTGCATTAAATCGACAAAATTTCTTCCTGAATTCACATTAAAATGAGGTTTATCGATGTAAAAAAATCACCGGAAAAAATTTTTATTAACATAAATTCATAAAATCGCTTTCCGTTGAAGTGTGAATTATATACATCGTCAAGCAAAACTAAGCGCAACGTCAACGTCAGGTAAACAAAGATTGAACAACAACATTGTTGAATTTACAATCATTGTTGCAGGACAAATATAATACCTGGTCAGTGTCTTAAAATATAGGCTACATTTTGGCAAATTGTGGTGAAATAAGTGGCTCACCCTCGTCAAAATACAGTTCATATTTTAGAACACTGACCAGGTATTCTATGTATGGTCTTTTTATGTATATTGCATTATGTATTTAAAGTTAAGATCAATACATACCTTGAATGAATCGTATTCTCTCTGTCCATTCATCAGGTTTGAAACGTAGTGTCGTTTTACAGATTTTTATTTGAGTAGGGTTGTTTTATCTTTGGAAAGTGATATATTGAGTCTACTATATTACGTACTCGTGTATTAGGTCTTGGTCCATCTCCACACATGACATCGATCAGTTCAATTGCACATTCAATCCGCAATGTTTATTGATATATTTAACATTTCCGACCAACATAATTTTAAATCATGGGAGTTATTTGTTTTTCAACAGTTTTATGGGTGCATACCTTGCCTCTTACAAATTGCTCCTTCACGTTGAAAACACTTTATGTCTAACTGATGTAATGATTAACATTATCTTTATATAGATTAAAACGTTCATTTAGGTATGCTGTATTTCAGCTTTTTGTATGAATCACTTTTACCAGCTTTTCTTTGTAATAACTGTAGCACATGTTTTTACCTTAACAAGTCATCTGGCATATATCTAACCAACCAAAATCAACCCTCCAATATATGTAATTTATGATGATATATCTATAAGTTATAATATCATCGATCATTAAGGGTTTTTTTTTGTTGATATATTGCAAATGAAGATCCATCTCTTTACGTATTGCAGAAAGTGCGATCTGTCATTCGGAAAGTCATATTGTCTCATATTCATCATTTCTATCGTGGTTTTATCATATGCCGGATTTCGAGACTTCATGAAGATTTCAGCGCAAATATGACAGGGCGGAATGTGGCATCGGAAAGCTTCGCAATCATTCAATAAATTGGTTTTAGCCAAAAACGTGAAATTGTGGTTTAATCAACAGTGTGGTAGTTGTATTCAAACAATGCATGTATGCAAAGCAAAATTGAAATATTAGATGGTGAACGGAATCATACATTGGTCATTATCCATTCAGGTTCATGTTGGTAATAAAAACTAACAAAATGTTGTGCTGAATTGCTTGATGTTAAAATGTTAGACAGTAGGTAGTGAATAAAAATGTAGACTGTGTCTTCTGTCAACGTTTTGGCCTGTTCCATCATCAATAATGATAAATGAAAAATATTTCAGTTTTTCATTAAGTTATGATCGACCTGAGACTGCCAGACTTTAAAACCGATGTATTTTTTTGACTGCCTCGTGACGTTTATTGTCGTTATTGACGAGTTGCTGACTCTGTTGTAGATCCTGCCTTTGTATTCCATTTTCGAATTATTCACAACTGATATAGAGATATATAAGTATAATTTTGTAACATTTAATGATCAGTCTTATATCAAATAAAGACTATAAGATGCAGTGGAAGTACGTTACATTTAATGAATATCAGGTATCGTCTCCACTTGTCAGCTATTGTTTTCATGCGTTAGTCAGGACACTAAATTTGATAACAAGAAAATAATTCTCCAGGTAAAATACATAAATATTCAATCGTATAAAGAATTCTATAGTAAGTATGATGAGATTATGATTAATTTTGGACCAGATCAAACATTGTCTTTGTTCTAACATATCAGACGGCGCAGTTATCATTGGTCTGAGTTTATTAGCTATACTGACATCAAACTATTCTGCGTGATACAAATACGAAATATAAGAGATGAACGGTTTTATAATCCTAAAATATCAATTTCTAATTTTCAGAAACGAGTACACATGCGGTGTACCTGACTTCCTTTGCGCTTTTTAGATAAACACATTTCCATGCGTTATCTCAAATGTACCTGAGCATTTGCCGCACCTCCTTCAATAAATGTTTGTCCTGAAGAGACATATACACAAAATATAATCTTCAGTAAATCAGCAAGAGCTTTTCTCAGAGACGATATTTAATATTTGTTAACCGACAAGGACGTTACGCAAATAACCTATCACATCTTCACTACATATCAGATGATATATGCGTATATCATATTACATGTAGTGAAGATCACGCATTCTCAGATCTTAACGGTGTGAAAAAGTCAATAAGGGAGTCTATAGACTCTATACCTATCTAATATCTAAACGTTTGACGTTTAAGTTCAAAGCTTGCCGATTGCCAGTCAGTCAAACTCTTACACGAGATTATCATGTCCGTGGAACAGAATCATGTTTATCCGCCCCCCTCCCCCTTAAAAAAAAAAGCAGTAAAATGTTAATTGATGTCGCGAAGAGTATGTATCCATTGTGAATCAAAATTGATGTAGTCATGTGATTGAGACATGATTAAATAAATGATAACCTTAATATTGACGCAACTCTATTGTTTACCATCTTAACTCTTTACTCAGATGTGTCTTTTCCCTAAGCCTAAGATATAGAGATATAATAATGAAGTATGTGCTTCTATCATCCTTATGTTGATAATCAATGGAGGGTTCCTTCTGCAAGAATCTTGTGATGAGAAACATATAATGATATTAAGAATTTTTAAACCCGCTTTTCAGGGTTTGTAAAAAGGACACGAACAAGCAGATAGTATTTTGTTAAATAAGAGGCAGGTGTAGGTATGATTTTAGAAACACAATAACACAAAGACGGTGTTAAAACCAATATATAAGTATTCTTAAAAGGCAAGTTCGTGGATTTAAATGTGTAGACATTGTTAACAGATTATATTTTTTGTGTCAGTGTTTCATGTATCTTAGAAATCGTAAAAAAGGAAAAGGAAACATACAGCTTTAAACGTATATTCTATATCAGTTGTCAAGTCAAACATGAAATAAATTTTATACTATGTTTGCAAATACGGCCACATCAGTACCTTATCAGGGTATGTAATAAAATTAATTTTTGCTGTACATGTATGTCATACATGATCTCTCATTTTCAAATTATCATGTCCACTTATCCCCTTTCTAACTTTAAAAAAATATATTTTTAAATTTCAATTACTAAGTATGCACTATGTGCGGGACACCTACGACATATTAAGTAAGAATGCTAGCAAATTGATACGCCCATGCGAGCTTAACCTATATTTTAATGTATGCATGAATCAACGGACATTTGGTTATTCAACCATTTGTTGCATACCTTTCGAGGTTCTAGAATTCCCTTTCTGTAGGCATGAATGGTAGTACCCTTGCAGACTTTTATATGAGAGGGAGGATTTAACCTTTTGATAAGCAATTGTGTTGGAAATGATAAAAAAACAATATCTATTGCAGGAGCCATTTCCACCCCGACGGCTTGGTAATTTTACAAAGTTTGGAAGTCCGTTATTCATTTGCCATGGACAGATCATGTTACCTTTCTATTTTATCGAACAATACAACTACCTGTTCTATAATATAACTGTTATATTCAGAGTATTCATGATGTTGTTACATTCAACACATTAAATACTTCTTCAGTTGCGTAATTTATAGTGAACCCAAACGAAGAAAAACAGACTGATACACGTTTGGCTTGTAATATGTCAGGTTGTGATATCACCATTTAGATACACATTGCAAGCAAATCAGAAAAAACCGTCTACTGGCTTATTAAAATCTAAGATCTCCGTGATCAGTCAATATAAGGTCCGGTATGATCAGAAGTTTGTACAATGCGAAAATGACGGAAAGACCAAAAGGGCATCTTTGATAACATAAATGGTATCTATTGGTTTTTAGGATAAGTGGTTACAATGCTTGAAACAAACAAAAAAAATACATTAATGTATTTTCAACTTTTAATTGTCAAACCGAAAAAAAAAAAAAAAAAAAAATCGAGATTCACGTAAAATGATGCAAGGTGAAAAATAAGTTCATCAGTCAATATGTATTCGGTCAATACTTAAAACTTCGAGAACGTAGGGTTCGTCGAAAACTATTAGCATACATTTAACATCAATCATAAAGTCAAGCCATTTTTCAGTTTTGTGTTCCTATATCAACTAAACTTGGGTTTAGGAGTTGGAATCACTGTATTGTGAAGTTTACTTAATGCTTCTACTCAGCTTAATCTATTTCTCTAGAACAATTCAAAATATATCCACATGTACTTGCTGAACTATGGAGTCAGTGCACCTCTCCATCAGGATTTTGACATTTCTCCCGATGGGGTTTGGTTTGCTTCGAGCTATTCCTGGGTTTCCAAGTTTGGGCCAATTGTCATAAATGACGAGTCCAAGAAGGACGAAAAAGCTGTCTAATACAATTTTGTTTATAATTTGACTCTACAATATCTAATTATGAAGTTCATTAAAATATCATTTATTTGTGTTTTTGTGGAAATCGTCTTAGTTAAAATAGCATATCCGTAGACCGTCAAAGAATTGTTTCACTCGTATCTAGGAATGTCAAGTCAGAGAGATTATTTCTTTTATAAAATAAATGACAGTTTTGCATGAAAGCGTTTACAAAACTGTTACAATTGCAATCTAAATTCCCTTCCCTTTTATAACCACCAAAAGTTAAATAGATGTTTAACGGTAATTAAAGGTCTAAAATGGATTTCTCCAATATTCATACAATAACACGTTAACGGAAAGAAAAACAAGACATAAGACGTAAATTAATTTTATTCACCTCATCATAAAAAACAGCCGTGGGTCAAGGGGGATCAAAACAATGTTAAATATAAGTTTATATATTTAAACTTTTGACAAAATGAAAGGTTATGTTTTAGGCTAGATTGTTATTTTGAATTCCATTTGCGATCACAAATCATGACATTCAAGATAAGGATTGTTTTTCTCGAAATACAGACGATGCCCCAGTTTGATATTTACAGGTAATATCGATAAATACGTCACTTCCGTCGTACGTATTGTGAAACACGTGACGTTGTTCTCTAGTCTCAATATGTCGTAGGATGTCAACAAGTCCCTCTTGTGAACCGAGTTTTATGGCATATGTTGGCAGGAGTTCGGGCCGTACGGAAAACACATCACTCCAGATTATTTCGATTTTTTCCCCAGTTCTTGTGACTTTGGAATGTCGACCTTATACCAAACAAACCAGAATGAAGAAACATAATAAAAGATAACAAGAACTTTGTAATAAAGATGATAATTTGCTCAACGTGATCAGAAACTATTCTAGGAATGTTTTAAAATCTATTTCTTTGAATTTTCAAATATTAGCTGCTTAAAACGGTAATTACAGAAATCATGACAAAGTCGACTCGAGACACCGTAATAAAGATTCCTTAATGCTACATAGCTTCAATCATACATTGGTACCTGTAAGAACAGGAGCATCCCCTGTGACGAGAACAGATGCGTTGATGGCTTTGCTGTAGATCCCGTCCTTGCTACACGCTGTTACCTCCACGATATACAAATTGTTGTTTTTTAGGCTAACGTCCTCAACCGATACGTAGGTCCGCATCTCCGTGTCCTCCCAATCTTTCGTCACCTGATCACCCTGGAGGACACGGTAGGAATACGTCTGGATTCCATAAGAATCGTCGAATTCTCCCCACGAAAATATCAAGGGTGAACCTGGTGGGATAACGGGAACTTCCGATGATGTCTCGGCCAACGTGTTGACGTATATTGCAGCATTGTTGATGTCCGGCGGGAAATAAGTTATAAGTTTAGGTCCAACAGATAAAATCTTCTTTAGATCAGCGTCATTTGAACAAGTAACTTCCGCCGAAATCATACTACCATGTATCAAGGGAAGATATGGCGTTTGGAAGTGGTGGAGCGACAATCTCATTCCACTTTCGATAATAACTGAGTTGTTTACAACTGAAAAAAAACCTTTATACTTATAAATTTGTAATATTTCATGACTTTTATCAGGTCGGTTCAATACTATTTGCCTGCGTGATCAGTCTTAAATTAAACAAAGGCTATAAAATGCAGTGGAAGTGTGTCACATTTAACGGTTATTTAATATCGTCTCAACATGTCGCATATCATTTTGAGGTGTTATTCATAACAATACGTATGTAATAAACGATGCTTAAAATATGTACTTCAATACATTAAGTTTAAAACCACTGCATGGCTTCGTTGGTTCAGTCGTCACTTTGATGTGGTTGTAATTCATTTTTTAGATCCATTGAAATTTATCTTTCGTTCTTACAGGTCAGACGGTGCAGTTATCGTTGATCTGGTTTGCACTGCTACACTGACATACAAAACTGTTTGTTTAAACAGTTACAGTTCTGTTACAATACAACTACAATACCAAACAGATAAACAGTTTTATAATAAAAAAATCCTAATTTCTTAGTTTCTTGTTTCTTACCTATGGCACAAGAACAATGTGTAGATGAACTTTCAGCATCAATGACTTCCCAGGTAACACTTACTGTAGTCAATGTATCCTCTCCGAAACTGATGTAAGTCGTATTCATCACTGCGTTTGATATTATTGGTGGTGTGTGGTCCATAATGATAGCGTGGGAATGAAAATGACCCCGGATTCCGGCATGGTTCTCTACAATCGCTGTGATATATATCGCCTGTCCATGAGGAGCCTCTGTGAAGAGAATTACATTTGACAATGACGGCACAAGAAGAAGAGGGTGGATCTGAAATCCTTCACGTGTAGACCCTGCGCCGACGTAAATCTGTTTGATTCCACTTTCTTTGTCGAAGACATTGATGGTAATCATTAATTCTAATGGTGATACCTGCCGAACAATGACACAATCGTCTGTCTGATTGGAAAGTGTGACGTTCTTACTGACATCCAACGTGAGTTGAAGTTTTGTATCGGCCACAGCTTTTATCATCTGGACAGTGATACTGCGCTCACCAAGAAAAAGCGAACTGACAAATGAGGTATGAATTTCATAAACTTCATTGCTATTTGTTCGAGTAGAATGCAAATGGTTTTGACCTTCAAAAGAAATTTCGACCAAGTCCCCGTTTTCCACACTGTCAAAAACTAAGTGTAGCATATACATTGATGTCAGTGGTTCCTTAGATAACATTTTTGTCCAAACTAAAGTTCCATTTTCAGTTTCTAATGTTTCGTTGTACAAATTATCAAAAAGGTTAGTTTCAAATGCGGTCGGTGGAGAAGAATCATACAGAGCAGGTGGAGAAAATATCACATCACTTTCAAATCCTGCAGCATCAACCGCTTTGACGGCGAATCTGTACCATTGTCCATTAGTGAGATTGATATGATTAAACATGAATGCATTTCTCAAGCCTATTCGATTGAATTCTAATGAATCGCTACTAGCATTCCCTGTCGTATCTACAGCTACAAAGAACGATTCAATCGCCGAGTGCCGGTCATGAAAGCCCCTAAACGATACTCCAACGTCTTGTGAATTTTGAGTATGAGCATTATAGTAATGGGCAGTGTTGAAGGCGACGCCTGCGAAAGGCTTTTCTCGATCTACTAGAACTCCATCCGAGACAAGCGTTCTGTGTAGCCTTAAGTGATTAATAGCTGTTACAGTGACATAATATGTTGTTCCGGAAAATAGGGTAAGGTCCCGCCAAGATATTGAGGTGTTCATACCTACATCGACAGTTAAAATGACGTCATCGCCTGCAGAAACCAAAGGTATTGATGCATTAAGTGATTATATGTAAATACAGATGTGATTATTTTATCTATGTGACATAATATCATAACTTTACTGAAATTCAAAATAATTAATTGAATAAGTTGATAATCGGAATACCATCAGTATGGTTTAAGCCAGAAAAATGTATGTAAATTGATAAGAAGTAGAATGTTAATTGTATTGGTATTTTATCATGATATGTATAATTGACGCTGTAATATTTACTTACCACCTGGATTGGTTCCAAGAGATACGAGGTAGGTGTGAATTCCACTTTGAGGGTCGGTAAATACACCTGACCAGCACGCAGCCAATGTATCTAAGGTCGAGGTGAAGTCGAGGTCAAGGTCACAAGTCCCTCTGTCATTTTCTTTGATGTAACGTCCTCTCCTTACAGACGGCGGAGTACTGTCAATATGGACAGGATGTGACGTGAAAACAGCATATTCTGATGTAGATGTCCATGCTCTGACGTATACTGCATAACTTGTGTCATGCAAGAGATAACGGTCTCCACTCAGACAATGAACTAACGAGGTTTGATTGCCTACGTCATACCACAGATTTTCTAGTAAAGGATCAAATATCCCAGTTCCGACAGGCATTTTAGCTTGTCCCATACTCCATTCGAATCGCATGATGTTTTCTGCACCAGACTCTCCAATCGTCCAGTTAGCGGAAATACATGAGGACGATGCTGACATTGGTTTCGCTATAGAGCCGTATTCAATATTGATATGTATGGACAAGGAGCTGTTTTGGTTGTTACTCTTACACTCAATGACCCCGTCGACGCTGTGACATTTTTGTCCTACAACTGCACATGTGCAATCCTTGTTGCAATAATGTGCATCACAGGAATGTCTTAAAATCTCAAGGTCTCCATGCATGTCGACCTGGTTTGAAGAGACAACCGTCACCGTCACCTTACCCACAGCACTTCTTAGTCCCGCGTGATTCTCTGCCCATACTGAGATAATCAGCAGTTCTCCTGGTGTCAGGTTTGTATTTAACATGATTTGAATAGTTTCAGTGTCGTTCCCAGAGTTCGATGGTACAAACGATAAAACACCATCACTTACCTCGGACCCACTATACGTTTTTCCAACAGCAATATCGTACGTTTTTATACCGGATTCGACATCTTTGAATCCAGACACCGTGATGTTGATGACTGAAACAGTTTTACCTAAAGCGGTAGTAGAGCGCCATACCATCGGGTCTATGACTCCACCAAGATGAGGAGGAGTCGGGTCGATGACGAGATTATTGGAAACCGCGTAAGTACAAAGCCCTGCTTCGTTACAAGATGTCACGGTAGCGACGTATGTGTCTCCTGGTTTCAGCCATTCTTCATTTGAAAGCGGAAGACGTAATTCGTTGATATTTGCCAGGTGGATGTTTTCTACGGATGTATGTCCTTCGTGATGAGTCTTCAGGGAAACTATGTGTTTTACTATAGGACTTTCCGGATCTTCAAATTTCCATGAAATTTTGAGAATAGAAGGATCAAACTGGAACATGTTTCCTATCACCGACTCCAGCACTGGTGTGGTGATCAGTATTGGTGAAGTTGGATCAACAACAAAGCTGTCGGAAACACTTTCAGTAGACATGCCAAGATGGTTTTCTGCTCTGACCACCACAACTAATGTCTCATCCAGGGGGAGAGAAATCGGGATTGTCAAATAGTTGGCCAGCAGGAAATTTGTAAATGGCAAGACGTCACACGTCTCACTAACGCCATGTCGGATACATACTTTGTAACTCCTTATACCTGATTCAACGTCGGAAAAACCAAACCACTGAGCTTGAATGGTATCTCTGCAACAACATCAAACACAACCAAAGCTGTTTCAAAAGGCGGATAGAATTAGGATATACACCACGATTGTGTAGAATTTTCATTACTTTTCTTTTTTTTTTAATGCAGTTTAATGTACTCACGGATGTGCCCAGTATCTTGAGTGGTGTCCATCAACTCCAACATGAACAATCCCCGGAATTGGAGGTGAACTGTCGGCAGTAAAGCCATTTGATGACACAGATGTACACAATCCGGCTCCGTTACAAACTTTTACGGTGCAGAAATATTTAACTCCAGGGACTAGGATCTGCTGCCAGTTTATCACTATGAAATGGAAGTAGCACATTGGAAAATGCATCCAAAATTATTACATGCATCAAATTTGACGAATTTTAGGTCAAAATATTAAATAATAAGGAAATAAAAGGATATTTCGAATAGCTGAATTTTGAATAGTTACATTTTGGATAAGATAATTTAGAAAAAAAAAGAAATAGCGACATACATAACAGATATACAAGGCTGTCATTTACTATGACGTAATAAATCTTATCTCCAATTACCGATAAGGAATACTGAATAACAATATAAACAGGTGGACCACACTGTTAAGATTACGTCTCACTTGTTTTAGTTCCAGTAGAGGACGTTGCCCTGACATCATCTTGTAGAGGCTGGGTGCCTAGTCCTGCTGCGAAGTACCGGACTCCGGAATGGGGATCACTGAATCCGGACCAGTGACATCCAGCATGAGTCGTATTAGCTTGAAAGTCAACGTCCGGCTGTGGACAAAACATTTCTAATAAATAATACAGTGTCACGATATCACCATCTGAATGTCAATCATGTTGAATCGAATAAGGTCAAAGTATAGAAACAAAAGGAAGATATTACCGTGTGATGAAGGAGGCCGTCAAGGACAGCGCCCTCTGATGGAGGAGATCGATCAACAACAAATGATTCTGAGGATGATAATGCTGATAATCCCGCTCTGTTCGTCACCTATTTAATACAAATATAATGTGGATAGCGTTGTATATAAATATTCGTACCTTAAATATTTTATATAATTAAGAAATTGAAAACAAATCCGCTTACCAATATAATAGCAAAATATTTGTGTCCGTCATGCAGAGGTGACAGGTCAGTAAATGAGGCGAAATCTTCCGACACGTCTCGGAATTCTAAAACGTCTGGTGCTGATGGAGTTGATCCGATTCCCAATTGTATTCTGTCAATACCACTCTCGACGTCATGGAAACCTGTCCAGTGTACGTTGATCTTTGGTCCAAGGGTGATTTGTGACGTCAAATACGTTCCAACCTGCACTTTACCCACGACAGGAGGAGTAGTGTCATATAGAACACCAGGGGACACAACTGTACTCGAATGGCCGACATGATCAAATGCTGGTTAACAAAGGTAAGAATAACTCGTGGTTAATGGAAAAACGAAACAGCTGTATGATATAGTTTATTTCGCTGTTAAGTTGTAACATATATAACACTAAATTTCTATTGAAATAAGCCGTTCACTTTTATCATTTTTGTACAAACTTCGAAATTGCATAATGAAGTCTCAGTCGATCGACCTTTAAGTTACCATTTCAATTAATCGGAAATGCCTCAACTCAGAAGATATCAATGTACTCGGCGATTTTTCAAATATATGAGAAATAACGAAATACATTGAATTCCTTCACCATACTTGGATTGGCATTTCATTTCAATTACTTATCACAATTTAGGCATTTCACATCACCGAAGGACGAAACAGCGTTTAAATGTATATCAATGGGTGCTTGAATGCCAGTTATTTAAATATTTTTACATTACATAAAAGAAATCTGACATTCGTCGACTTTGACAATAACTGAGTTGATGTAAAATTTAGTTTCTTGTTGCATTTACCCCGATACAATATTTGTTTTTCCCGTTTCATAATAATTGGGACTTTTTGACAACTTACCAGTAACAGTGACGTAGTAGGTCAAGCCCGAACGGAAATTAGGGTTAATAATTTTCACGGATTTCGACCGGCCGTTTGAGGTCTTTGCTACAACATCTTGTCCGCATGGGTTACTGCCTTTAAAAGAAAAATTCCCATGAAATCACTTAGGATGTAGTCAGATGAAATGTTAACAATATTTTCCATCTTAAATGATATTAAACTGTACTGAGAGAAAGACACCTACCTAGAGAATACTCATAATTCGCTATACTGTCTGGATATCCTAGACTTTCGTAACCATGGTAATCATGGAAGCTATCCCAGTGAACCAGTAGGTGTCGGTTGTCTGTAAGGTAGCCATTCTGTGATGCAATAAAGACATCGCCTTTCGCAGGTGGATTTCCATCGATGATAAATCCGTCACCACAAGTCTGAAATGCAGGCAGAACTTCTCCGTTCGCGGTTGTAGATGTTTCTATCTCGGCACAAATGTAATATAATACTTCGTTTTCCAGAGAAATTCCCTGAAAAGCAGAATATCCTCCAATCGTGTTGATGGAAGCAACACATAGCGGATTGTCTTCACACGTTTGATGTTTGGTATCCTTGAGAAGATACCACGTGACTTGTCTGTCTTG